AGCACCTCTCAGGGGCGTGTCCTGGTTCTGAGACTTGTCCTTCCTCCACTCTGACACCACGTCCAGGATGGCATTGAAGTGGAAGTCCATGCGCTTGTCGATGGCGGGGTCTGTAACCTGTCCCCCTTCTTGGAAAAGGTCACAGCGCTCTCCCAATTTGTGCATCTTGATGCCCATCTGAAACACAAACATCCGGGAGTCACGTACAAAGATGTCACAAGACAGTGTATATACAGTATCTACTTCAAACAGACTTGAGATACGTTTTATACACACCAGAAATATGTGGAATTATTGACTGCCTATTGAGCTCTTGCTAAAATCGTACCTGTTCAGACATCAGGGCGATGGGGTTGTTCACACAGCCGTTGACAATCTGAGCTCCTCGGCCTACAGTGACGCCCAGTGAAGTGTCATCCCACACACGGCCTCCAATTCTCTCCCTAGCCTCAAGCACCACCACCTGTAATCAGAGTTGGGAAGTAACTACGGTAAGTAGTGTACTTAAGAACAATTTTGAGATACTTGTACTTGAGTTTTTTTCAATTTCAGTCAACTTTGTACTTTTGCTCCACTACAATTCAGAGGTAAATCGTGCACTTTTACTCCACTACATTTATTTAATACCTTTAATTACTTTACGGATTTGGATTAATTGTGTGAAATCTAATCAAGTGTTAAATCAGACTTTAGTTCCACCTGGAGTAAATTCACAAGCTACCCTGCAGTATACAAAGTCATTCAAACTAGCTGCACCTTTACCAGCTTTGATAACACTTTAAAGATCAATCATTATAAAACATATATATTGTTCTGAAATGGAACAATCTGCACAATGAATACTTTTTTACTTTTGGTACTTAAACTATATGTTGATGCTAATACTTTTGTACTTTTACTTGAGTAACATTTTGATTGCAGGACTTTTACTTTGAACAAAATGTTCCTACACTCTGGTACTTTTACTCAAGTACAAGATCTGAGTACTTTTCCAACTCGGCCTGTAATGACAATGAAGAGTGTAAAGGGGCAGCACTGTACCAAGCAGAGAGGGTAAATAAGGAGCTCTGAGAAGATGTGCGACACACATTTACTAGTTACCTGAGTTCCAAAGTTTTGCAGCTGCCGTGCTGCAGCCAGTCCTGAAGCCCCGGCACCGACGATGATAACATTTTTCTGCAAGAATAATAAAACACGAGAAGGCAAAGAAATGTTTTTACGTGAGATTGCAGTGTCATGATGAGCTGAAGATGAGGAAACTCACAGTGTAGTGTCTCTCAGGCAGCAGAGGCGTCTTCACTGCCAGCACGCCGGTGTTGATGAGGCCCTTCCTGGTCATGAAGTGAAGCACCCGGTCCATCTCCTGCACGCAGCGCACACGCACCAACCCCCGCACAATGATGTGTAGGGCACATTTCTGAGAAGTCAGCACCTCCTGAAAAAAAATACGAAAATGTTTGCCATTTATGAAAATGTGACTTTGCTTTTTTATTTGTTCTAGGTCAAAAGCCAAGATGAAAACATTATTACATGATTTGTGAGTGAGTGTTCTCTGCAGTGTACCTTGCAGTTCTTGTGCCAGGAGGCCAGAATAAGGTTCCGCAGAGCCAAATACATGGTGGGATCACGGGAAAACTCTGGAAACTCGTAAAGCTCGTCCAGCTCCATCATATCCGGCCGCACACACAGAGCCTTGCCACACTCATTGGGCTGGTAGAAGGGCTGGAAGTATGGACACAGGCCTGGAACTGAGGAAACAATCACCACGATACAAAATGATTTAGGATAATATCTCTCAATAGTAGGCTGTAAGCATAAACAATGTCAGGTGAAATATATTCAATTATCTCTAATGATAGTTCGATGTGTGACAAAGGTTTAGTCATAGCCTTATTTGGTAAAATGGTGGATAACTGGAGATCGCTCACATTTTTTTTGGGAATGTGTGCAGGGATTTTGGCAAAATGTAAAGTTTTAACTAAAATTAGAATACTACCCCAAAATATAACAGGTAAAAGCCAAATACTTATAATGCCCATATTCCATTGATATCTCAACCATTATAACTGTAAATTGAAGGAGAGAGCTTTCCTGGACTCATTTAGACTGAAACAACAAATCTTTTTTCAGGAAAGATTGACTGAATGTATGTCGTTACGATCTTAGGATGTGAACAAGTGATGTTGAGAAAATGTTTGTTGGTTTCATGTTATGTAGCAAAAATTGAAATTAAAGTTCAACTTAAAATACATCTCTATTCCTCTCACATCCACTGACTCACTTTGTGGCTGCACGGCTCTGCAGTGGTCGGCCCTCAGCTCAGACAGTGACGTGTTGCTGGGGCAACCGGACGGACTCATCCCCACACAGTCAGGGTAATACGCAGCGAGGAACGGGCTGGCTGGACTTTCTTTGAACAACGGCGGCAAAATCAACATTGAATGCCACCAGCTGTCCATCACCTCAGCCACTCTCTGTGAGAATGAAACAGCATCAGATTAAAGGGGATGGAAATACTAAAGTAAAGTAATAGTAGATTACACACTCTCTTTGTGATAACAAAATCCACAGCTTACCAAGTCCTCTGGTTGGGAGCAATGGTCCGGCCCCTCACTCTGCAGGCAAAGGCACAAAATCAACAAAAAAACAAACAAAATATATGTCACTTATGAATAGCTGGAGAATTATTTTGCCATTACTTTAATGTTGTTGAACTTCATCCCACAGCGGTACGATGCTGCGAGGGAAGACGTGAGTTGGATCTCCTTGGTCAGCTGACGCCACTTCCTGCAGTCCGGTTTAGTACATTGAACCTGAAAGGAACCCATCCCACTAAAGATAAATGTATTTGTGACATGTAAAAGTTAAAAGAAGCAGTTTTAACTGTAAAAGAGGAACCAGGGACGCTGCCTGTGCTTACCCAGAATGGTAGCTGCTGATCTGCCATGAAAGCTTTGAGACTGGGCTCACTTTTCCCATTACTGGTCCACACCTTCTTCCAGGAAGCAAATACCTCATAGCCATCTTTGTGACTGCCAGGGGGGGAAAGTCATTTTGTGGCGTTAATGCAACAACTCTATACATTTCAACAAATAGTGAAACATGTTTATTAAAGGCACAATGAGGAATATTTGTTAGTTGTGGGCACAGGCAGGGCTAAAGGGTCTCTGCAGATACAGAGCACAACACACCATAAGTGGTGATTAAGAAAGATTATTTTGTGCATTATATTAAGCAAATACTACTCATTGTTCCTTTAATGTTATGCGAGGAGTTGTTCTGTCAACATTACCTTCTGTAGTAGTGATCAAAACATTCGTTGCAAAAATGCTCACCGCACGACAGATGATACCAGCGAGATGTGTATCCATTTTTAGCACACCTGTAAAGACACACATTAAGACAATCTGTGTCCAAATATAAAATAAAAGGGAAAGTTCAGCTGTTTCGAAGAGGGGTTTTATGAGGCACTTACGCATAGTCAGTGTATTTTGGAACATGTTACCTGTCAGATGCACTTGCAAAACAGACTGGGTATGTGGCAGAGCATCCGGCCTTCTCACACTTTCTGTACTTCTTTTCGGACTGGTCGTCTTCCTCCTCTGTGTCTGTGGCTTTTCTTTTGCTCTACAAGAAAGGGAATCCTTGAGATGAAATACCCTGCAATTTGGCTTGGTTTGAGTCCTAGTGTACTTATTGGTCAAATGAGTATCCACCTGAAAAACAAAGGCATACAACAATAGAAACACATATATTTTTTGCAGTTTACCTGCCCAGGTGGTGGATTGTTGGTGCGCTTCACCCGGACATTGCTCTGCCTTCCAGAGGAGCGCAGGGTCTGGCCGTCCCCCGGCGATTCCCCGGAGCTCCTCTTCTTTCCTCGCCGGGCCCCAGAGGCATTTCCAGAATAGTCTAAACAAAAGTGACAAAATAGCAGAATACCTCATTGCGTCATTTTTCTTGTTACATGTATTTCTTTTTAATTAGTTGAATGTTTATTTGAGTACTTTTTATAATTTCAACATACTATTTTAAGATTATCTTTAATTTTTCAGAATAAAAATCATCTTGTCCTTGATGCTTATGTTTACTTTTAAACTTGTAAACTCAAGTCATGAAAAATATGTTGTCATTGTTTTTATTTATTATATAGCATGTTTGTTTGTTGTGTATTTTTGGTATGAACCACCAAATCATTCTTAAAATGAAAGTTAAGTGAGATGTAGGCATGCAATAGCTTAAAAGGGAGAAAAAAAGCAACACATATAGGCATAAAGAATAAAAACACAGCAGTTGAATGAAGTAATCTAGCCACCAGAACAAGCTGTCACTATATTAGAGTATGCTAAAAATACAGGTATTGCAAATATCAGGTGATACCAGTGCAGGTATTGCAGATGAAAGATGATTAAAAAGTATTTACATGAACAGTGCACGAATAATAATTAGCCTACTACGGATAGTATAAAACACAAATGAAAGGTAAACATAAGAACACTTCACATTGGGCCTTGTTGAAAAGGCTGTTATAACATGACATTAACATGCTGTATCGTATTGAAGAAACAAACTAACCCACATTAAAGCGAATGAAACACGAGGTTAAATTGTAACTATACACAGTAAATACGGGGACAAATAAGCAAGCTCTTTAAACCTGCCACACAATGTCCGCCTGTCACATTTATAGCATGGAGGCTAAATGCTAACGACCACTGACCTGCATCCGACAGCATGGCTGACTGCGGTGCTTCTTTAAAACCCGGTGATTTATTGACGTTTATGTTGGTTTGAGATGCGGGTTTTATTGATTGTAAGATTTTGTCTCCCTTTTATTGTTGTGGGAGGAAATCAATGCGTTGTTGTTGCAAAAATACCACTTCCGGCTTTGGAAGAGGAAATAGGCGTAAGGTTGTTGTAATTTAGTTTTGAGCCCCGCTGCTCGCCGTACTACACGGTTACCATGCCAATGGCAGTAACAATGCGCTTCCAGTCCGTGGCAACAGCAGCAGAGACGCAGAGTATTTAGATATTTTATTCGTGTCTATTTATGCGGAAAAAAAACACGTTCAGGTTATGTTTCCTTTAACCTTAGCTCGTAATTGTTTTGAGCAAGAAAACAGAGGTTTGACAGTATACTTGGAACATTTTGTGTTAGTTTGAACGGACTATTACTCACTAACTGGAACCCCCCGCGAGACAAACTTCAAATTAACCGACAATGTTTGAGGAAAGAATTTAAAGCAGGAAGTTCCCTAATATATTGGAAATGGATTCAAGCAGATTTGTGCACCGGAGAAAAACGGACATTCCGGTAATTGGACCAAGAGCCCCGGATAAGAAACAGCACACACAGGAGGTAAACAGTTAGCAGCTCTGTCTTATTATGATGCTACTGCTAAAGAGTCTCCTGTAAGCTTGTTCATCATTTATTCAATGTCAGTAATCCCTGATACCTGGTAATGTAAATAGAAGATCTTTAAGTTTAATAATCACAGGGTTGCACAAATATAAATGTAGACCATTCAATATTAAAAATTAAAAGGAACACAAATATACAGTATAGATACTAAAGCTGTATACAAATCATTATGTATCCTAGAAAGACTTTGGTATAATGAAACAGCCAGGTATCTGCCACATGCCAGATCCAAGGTTAATGTTGGCTGTTGCTGGTCATTTTTTCATGACACCTGCCACCATGGAGGTTAGTTTTTTCCTTATCTTAAGAAATGTATATTTTAAAACAATTCATAATTTAAAAGTCAAGGATTAAAGTGACATGATATATTAAATAGTACTATCTGATCCAACGTACAGATAGAAATGTTCAGGTTCATGCCACAGTGGCAGGTGAGGAAAAACATAATTGCAGACCCCGAGTACTTTGCAAAACCCTCACATTATGTAAGTTATTTATTGTTATTTGCAGAATCTCTGGACATTTAGTATTCTAAGGAGTATGGGTTGATTTGGGGATTATAGTCAGGATATAATTAGATGCCATGTAGTCTGATTTATGCTACTTCATGGTTACATTTACAGTGCAGAAAAATGACAGGGGCTTATTTTTTACCAATGTCCCCCATCCATGTGGATTTTTTGTATTGTATCTATTATATAGAGTTCATTTTATATGAATATTGTTGTACTTGTTTTAAATATTTGTACGCCCAATTGCCAGATGGATCACATAACAGCTCTAAATGTTGTTTATCTATAACAAACTTCAGAAAAAGGTATGAAGGCATAATATGTTATCTCTTGCTTTTTGTTAGGTACTATAGATCTTCTCATAAAGTGCATATGCTTTTACCAGAGTACTATAGTTTACAAAGTGCCATGAAGAGTGGTCTGAAGCTTGTGTGTGCTTTACAAAAGGTGTCAAGATCTCAAAAAGTCTAGGAGACATGTGAAAGATAAAAACAAAGACAGAGGGGGTAAATGTTGACCTAAACTGTCATTTCTCTGCAGGTCAGTGTTAAAAGTATTGAACTCAGTAAGGTGATTCGCCTTCTTGAGGATCCCTTGACAGTAAGTTCAACTTGAATTTCATCAGATTATTATCTGTTTTAAATGATGGCATATCTCATCATGTTTGTTTTACAAAAGGTCAACCTGAAGGAGAGGCACCTCTTTGTACTGAAGAAACTACTGAAGAGATGCCAAATTGGCTTTGTATCCTTCGTTCTGGAGTCAGTGTTCTCACCTACACTTCACACTTCTCTCAGGTGTCACACACTGCAGCAGAAAGTCAAATGCTCCTCATTACTGTCCCCCGGTGCAGAGATGGAAATAGATGTGTTCTCATGCAACCTGAACACAGAGCCACACGTCATTCCCAAGACTCTAATTTACCGCCCTAACGCTGTATCTGTCAGTATTTTCCCTGTTCTGAAATAACCTCAGTTTTCATCGAGACTCTTTGCCCCATCACTTCCCCTCCCTCAATCTCATACAGCCTTCACATGTTAAACTTCTTAAATGATTTAAGCTTCTGAAGGAGCTGACAGGCATCGCCAAAATACTCAACATCTGTGCTGAGAAAGTGACAGACCACCCTGAATATCAGCCCATTTTCTATGAGGCACTTCACATTTGTAGGTAAGAAACAGAAATAATTCAAACCTACACTAAGAAGACAGATTTGTGTCGTTGTTGGGACATTTTCAAGATGTTGCTCTGCTTCCTCTCAGGCTTCCCTTCCTCAAGGAGAAATCCTCTGATGAGCTGAACTACGCGCAGGACGTCATAGAGTTTCTCTCTCACATGGGTACGCAGATCACTCACTGTATTCAAGTTGGTTCATAGTTTCAAAATGCTTCTTTCAGTGTGTGAGGGAAATTCATTTAAAACTTGAAGGATAAGGCTATTATATGTGCAGTGGTGCAGTACATGTATTCAAGTACTGTACAATGTTGAGGTACTCGTAAATTACGTGTGTATGTCCAGTTTATGCTTCTTTTTACTTCTACTCCACTATATTCTGGAGGCAAATGTTGTACTTTACTAGTTACTGTTTGCTTTTCAGGTCAATACAAGTAATACAAATATAAATCAATATATTATGATGTATTATGAATTATGATACCCAGCAGTACAAAAAGTAGTTAGTAAGCTCAATCCTTACTAGTTGCACAAATAAAATGATATAGACAATAATGAATCACTAATTATATTGATATCAAATATTATTTTGGAGAAAAAAAAAGAGTACTTTTAGTTTTGGTACTTCAAGTACATTTGGATTGTAATACTTTTGTACTTTTACACAGGTAAGATTTAGAATGCAGGACTTGTAACAGTATTTCTACACTGTGGTATTTCTACTTTTACTTAAAGGTCGGGTATGTAATTTATTTCAGAAACACTTTTTGTTATATTCCATGGAATGCTCTTAACATCCCGATAGCAATGAATATATTAAATGCTTTGATAATAAATCCATAAAAAAATGTATCTGTGGAAGCCGTAGTACTGTAAAAAGTATTTCTTCCACCACTATATATTTGTTGATCAACAAAACATGTNTCCAGCTTGAAAAAAATAAATAGAAGGAGGCGGAGCTAATGCCTGATCAGAATTCTATCGGAGATAAAGTTAAATTCTGCTGTGATAAAACGCCATCCTGTTCTAAACCACACCAAGGATTATTTCTGAAACAGTATGGAGCTCAAATACTCTTGCAGGTTTATCACAAGGTGAGTTCCTTTTTTTATTTCCTGCTTTTAAACACATGTGCTCTCTAAAACAGGTTAGCTCTGAGTGTTAGCGAGGCTTGCTAATGTAAACAGAGACGAGATACGTCCCAAACACGTCATGCATTGTTTCTGATAGCAACTTTCAGTGGGTCCGCCGCCGATTTGACGTCATATCTGCAGCAAGTCTGTATCCGTTCGTTGTACCCCCGTTTTTAAAAGATTTGGGTACGGAGGAAAAGAGAAAGGGTTTTATTTTCTGACGCTGCGTGAGTTTCCCGACGCACCGGGGACACATATTTATGTATAAAAGACATCAAAAAGTGCATTTTGTATGATAGGTCCCCTTTAAGTATTATCCTGATCATTTTTTATCATAAAGACAATGAGTTTTATCATAAAGACAATGAGTTTTCCAGAAATTGCTTAAAGCATCAGTAATATATTTTAGAAATGGTGTTGTGATGTTACTTAAACATATTCCTTGTATACACTGATTGAATGTGACTACTACAACTGTCTTCCACAACTTAAATATGTTTACAGGGTTAATGATAATTTTGGGGGAGAGGTAGACGGAGGCCTGGACCGACCAGCCTTCAGTACTGCAAACTTGCCAGCTTTCCACTAGATTTAGTGACTTTTGGAGCTACTTCTGATTGCTACAGTAATTCAAGTGTTGGGAACTTTAGGCTTGGTATGGATTATTGAAATAATCCTACTCTTGTTGTTTTCATATTTTATTTTTTTAAAGGGCTGCACTGTGGTGTAGTGTTTAAACAGTTTGCCAATTGGTTACTCGAGTATACATGTTGAATATCAATATCGGTTCAAAATAATTTGCTCTTCGGAAAGGATTTCTACTTTCTAAGGTTAAAACTTATAAGTATCCTCCTTTTGGAATCTTTGTCTCAGTTCAAGTGAGAACTAAATTGCTTTCCTTGGTTGTGAAACAGCAGCACACTATTTTGACCTTGCTCCTCTCACTCATGTGATATACCTAACAAAGCCACAGGGATGGAAACAACTCTGATGATAAAACATTTAATTTACATAAGCAACCTTGACTTGAAATGTAGCAGCAGATATTTCAGTATTACATTGAAATGACACCCTCCCTATTCCTGTATGTTCTCACTCTCCATCTCTTTTAATCCTGTGAAGTCAAAGATTTAGTTAGGTGAGATTGATTATCAAATGCCCTCTGACATTTACCACTTTCCTCTTCCTGGTTTCTCTACTGATCCCCTTTCCACTATCTTTCCCTCCACTAGTGCTCTCCTGCCTGCGATATGTAAATCGATTAACCCAGTGTCAACATTATAACAACATTTGATCAGTTCTGTCAGTGCAGAGGCGGGCCGATCGTTACATCAGAGATGAGCGCCTGCTGTATTAGTTTGGGCTGAAGCAGCTTTCTGATTGGCAGAGTGCAGCATTGATTTATCCATTACTGAGAGGTGATAGCATTAGTGTTTATCACACAGACTCGTTGTCCTGCCAGAAACATGTTACAGTCGGTGCAGGGTTATGCATATTTAATGTGGTATATAGATCTATGTGTGAATAGGACTGTGTGTGTTTGTGTGTGTATGTGCTGATGCGTTGTGCTTTGAGATGAACATTTATTTTATTTAAAATGTATCAGAAAGGTTAAAATTGACTTTCTTAAGTTTAAAAGTCATGAACATGATGCTATGCAGACGTGACTCCATGGTCATTTTTTTATTTTTATTAATTAACTTAAAGGTAGGGTAGGTAATTCACTTCAGATACACTTTTTGTTATATTCCATGGAATGCTCTTAACATCCCGATAGCAATGAATATATTAAATGCTTTGATAATAAATCCATAAAAAAATGTCATCTGTGGAAGCCGTAGTACTGTAAAAAGCACGACCAATCATTTTAGCCGGCGCGGCTAAAATATCTGGATGGCCTACCTGCCTGTCAGCCTTCCATCTGTGCACAAACTTATCTCGTGCCCTCATTGGTCATGTGAACATTCGTGTGTGTTGGAGGAGGGGCTCTGTAAGGAAGTGGC